ACGAGGTTCGTACAGTTTAAAAACTGTACTCGATGCACTTGCTTTCTTCTCGAGTCTTGATAGGTTTTTTCGTTGTCGGTTCCGTCAGAAGTAGAAGAAACGGAAAAATCAAAGATCTTCTCTGGACGCGTTCGCTGCCGTAGTGAAAATTCCCGTGGTTGGCTGCAATGAAAAATTCGAGTTTCTTTTATCGAAAAAAAAAAATTCGCAATCGTTCGATAACGTGTTTATCGGGTTATCTTTAGAGCGGAGCGAATTACGTAAACTAGATAGATGCGTAGACTCACCTTGACCGAATAAGAGGCCGAAAAACGTCGACGCCTTAATTTAATTTGTCGATTGCAACTTATCGAATCGTTTCGAGTAACACTTACAGCGAGTACAGGGACACTTTTGTTCGAAGCGTTCCTCTCATCGATCGCCAACGTACTCGCGGTTTTACGCAGCGATTTCATCGTAGGTCAAGCCGTAAATTGTAAACGAAAAGTCGGCCGAATGTTTTCGTAGCTGATGGCCTTTTAGAATTCCCTGTCCCATCGACAGCGGCACGTGCTATCATCCCACGGTTCCCCATGAATAATCCGCACCTCCGCCTACGTTCTTCGTCGTCCACCAGCCTATTCGCGTTTTAGCTTTTAATTAATTTTCGATTTTCTTCGCGAGCATCGTTTTCCTCGATCTTCGTCGCGGCTCGACTGCCGTCGCGTCTCGTATTCCATGAATACAAATGTAACTGGAATTTTCTCTCGATTCTTCTTCGACTTGGCGATGCTCGTTACTCGTACGAAAGAAGCAGGTAATTTATGATTCAGTCTGTGCGACTCGAGCGGTTCGATAAATAGCGGGAATTAATTTATCGCGTAATTACCATTGGTTTTTATACGTTTGCTCTCACGGTAATTGGTATTAATTTGTTCCTTCTAATTCGATGAGCTACTCGCACAAAAAAGTCCTTCGCGTTATCAGCGTTATTTATTAATAACGAGCCTAACCTGCAACAAACGTTGCGATTCGAGCGATATTTCATCGCGACACATTTTTAGATGGTACGCGCGGACAAATAAGCACCGGTCGTATAAGTCATACGTTAGAAGCTGTACACCGATTGATCTATTACGACGATCGATGAACTCCTTCGACATAAAGTTTTTTGACTCGAAGGTACTTCTCGATTACGATTAAAATAATCATTTTAACTTTATCATAAAGGCTCGATCGATTTAGTTGATACTTATCGTTGGTTCGAAAAAAATAACCTACTGTGAAATTTCGTTAGCAGTCCATTGACTTTCAGAGATTCCGTTCCAGTCGGTAGGTCGAGAGGCGAAAGGGAGATTCCAATGGAAGGGAAGAATCCAATAAACAGAAAACGAATTTGCTATTAGGGTCGCGTCTGATCTCGTTGCGGGCCAATGAGGCAAAGCAACCCTTATATCAACCCCCGGTTGCGTCTCGCGCTGACGATAATAAATCGAATCATACTTCAGGACTCAGCGGGTGTTTGCCGTCCCATTAGGGGTTGCTTAACTCTAGCCGTCTTTCTCGTCGAATCGTCGCATCCAAATTGATCGTCCTATTGTTCGCAAACTTTTCAAACCTGTCGAACGCCATCGATGAAAAAGGAATCGAATAGAACAATGGATGTTTATTGAGCCGTAAAATGACGATAATTACAAAAATAACGATCGCTTCGTTGATCATTATATGTTGGATCTAGAGATTATTTCGGTAAACGTAAAAACTTGCCGATCTTTAAGGGGTATTTTTTCGAAATAGTTAAGAATTATTTGCGATTTCCAAAACGCTCGGCCGTATCGCAGAATTCGAGCAAACGAAGAGCTTTTCCTCGCGCCCACTCGCCGCGAGTTTCGAGGAAGTAGCCGGAAGACCATAATCGGAATTCCATTGTCTCGTTCGTTGGATAAGGGCCTGGCTTTCACAGGAGCCGATGTATAGCCCGCAAAGGCCGTCGTTAACGGTAGCGCCAACGCCCACTCGACAATCAAGCATCCTCTCTCGGCCGAATCCTCCTTTTCTTTCCGTGCTCGCAGCCTCCGTACCCGCCGCGGAACACTCGAGATTCGAGATACGGATCATAGATTCAACGATCGCGGGCGTGTCGTGGTGGACGAGAAACGACGCGACGCGATGCGACGGTAGCCGGGTAGCGTGGCAGCGTGGAATTTTACATTGTGCCCGGGTGCAATCTGCCCGGAGGATCTCTACCTGGACTACGCTACGCCGATAGCCCACTCGACCAGTTCGTTAGCCAACGATCGAACGTATGCATCATCGTCATCGTCATCGTCGTCATCCTTTGCCATCGACTCGTCGTTACGTATCGTTGTTAGCTTCGGAGGAACCGTTCGAGCAACCAGCGCAAGAGATACGACCCGATACCGAAGACGATATCGACCCGACGGTTCTTTTTCGATACGTTTCATCGACGATTACGCTCTTTTTTATTCGTTACTTTTACATAATTACTAGTCACGACGCTACCGGACGAGATTCGAAAGGAGACTGGCTAATTCGTGTACAGGAATCGCACAATGAGAGTTCTCTGTCCAGTTGCTTTCGCTTCTCCTCGTGAATCACTCGTTCGGTAGTTGTCGCTCTTAATTCCAATCACTTTTTCCTTTTTCTTCGTACTTCTCGCTGCTCCTGTTTATTCGCTTAAATTATGTCGCTTTCTTTTCTTCTACCGTATCCGTGAACTCGGCAAAGGTCGAAAGTTTCTGCGATTACGTTCTAGTTATCGCGGAGATAGTTTTCGATTCTTTAGGGGGAACCATCGGTATTACGTTTGGATAGTCGTATTAGAAATTAGCGCGATTAATTTTTGAATAATAATCTCGCTGTTGGCTTCAGCGATATCACGATCGTTCGGGTGGCTACCATTTCCCTCGTTATTCTCGTTAAAATCGAGCGCGTACACCGGCAAACGCGTTAAAAACGTCCTGTTTAATGGATCGCGCAGCACTCAGACCTCCGGACAGGTATCCACCATTCCTTTCTCGACTTTACGATCTAGCTTCCAACCAGGAGAGACACTGGCGAGGCGCAGTTTTCCAGGCTGTTCTTTTTATTGGTCGGGACGTTGTACGTTGGCGTGTTGGATAGCAGCATCGTTTCCAGAGGCAGCTGGGAACGAACCGCGACTTTGGTCCTCTGGATGGTCGTGTATTCCGGGGTGTACCCCTCCTCACCCTACGCCTATCTTTCTCTTTCTTTCTCGCCTCTCTCTCTCTCTCGCGCGCGCTCTCCCGTTTCGTCGTTCCGGCTTGTCCCCCGTTCTCTCGCAGCCTCCGTACCCGCCGCGGAACACTCGAGATTCGAGATACGGATCATAGATTCAACGATCGCGGGCGTGTCGTGGTGGACGAGAAACGACGCGACGCGATGCGACGGTAGCCGGGTAGCGTGGCAGCGTGGAATTTTACATTGTGCCCGGGTGCAATCTGCCCGGAGGATCTCTACCTGGACTACGCTACGCCGATAGCCCACTCGACCAGTTCGTTAGCCAACGATCGAACGTATGCATCATCGTCATCGTCATCGTCGTCATCCTTTGCCATCGACTCGTCGTTACGTATCGTTGTTAGCTTCGGAGGAACCGTTCGAGCAACCAGCGCAAGAGATACGACCCGATACCGAAGACGATATCGACCCGACGGTTCTTTTTCGATACGTTTCATCGACGATTACGCTCTTTTTTATTCGTTACTTTTACATAATTACTAGTCACGACGCTACCGGACGAGATTCGAAAGGAGACTGGCTAATTCGTGTACAGGAATCGCACAATGAGAGTTCTCTGTCCAGTTGCTTTCGCTTCTCCTCGTGAATCACTCGTTCGGTAGTTGTCGCTCTTAATTCCAATCACTTTTTCCTTTTTCTTCGTACTTCTCGCTGCTCCTGTTTATTCGCTTAAATTATGTCGCTTTCTTTTCTTCTACCGTATCCGTGAACTCGGCAAAGGTCGAAAGTTTCTGCGATTACGTTCTAGTTATCGCGGAGATAGTTTTCGATTCTTTAGGGGGAACCATCGGTATTACGTTTGGATAGTCGTATTAGAAATTAGCGCGATTAATTTTTGAATAATAATCTCGCTGTTGGCTTCAGCGATATCACGATCGTTCGGGTGGCTACCATTTCCCTCGTTATTCTCGTTAAAATCGAGCGCGTACACCGGCAAACGCGTTAAAAACGTCCTGTTTAATGGATCGCGCAGCACTCAGACCTCCGGACAGGTATCCACCATTCCTTTCTCGACTTTACGATCTAGCTTCCAACCAGGAGAGACACTGGCGAGGCGCAGTTTTCCAGGCTGTTCTTTTTATTGGTCGGGACGTTGTACGTTGGCGTGTTGGATAGCAGCATCGTTTCCAGAGGCAGCTGGGAACGAACCGCGACTTTGGTCCTCTGGATGGTCGTGTATTCCGGGGTGTACCCCTCCTCACCCTACGCCTATCTTTCTCTTTCTTTCTCGCCTCTCTCTCTCTCTCGCGCGCGCTCTCCCGTTTCGTCGTTCCGGCTTGTCCCCCGTTCTCCTGCCTCCCCTCCGCCCACCCCCCGTGACCCCCTCATAAGCGGATTACGTGGGTCCCGAAACGAGCCAAGCGAGGCTCGATGGCACAGGGAAGGTAGAGGAGGGTGTGGGTCATAGCGGGGAACTGTTCAAAATTACGCTATCGCGACCTCGCAACGCTTACACCCCTCTGTGCCACCCCCTTTTCCATCCTCTGTTCCGATGCCTTACCCTCTTCGAGGCGAACCGGGATGTCGAGTCGTGCTCGTCTTCGTACTTTCAACCGATACGTTTTCGATGTCTCGATATTCGAAAACATCCTTCGAATCGTTTTTCCCGCTCAGCCACGCTTCGACCTTGAAAAGCCCTACCGATTATGGATTTGGTCCCCGACGATATCTATCGCATCCTTATAAAAAATAAAAAACCGTGCGACTTTTGTTGAGAAACTCGACGTTTCGTGTTTCAGGGATGAACCAGCGCAAGCAGCGTCGAGAGAGAACAACGTTCACCAGAGCACAGTTGGACGTGCTCGAAGATCTTTTCACGAAAACGAGATATCCGGATATCTTTATGCGAGAGGAGGTCGCTTTCAAGATTAAACTGCCCGAATCACGAGTTCAGGTAAATAGATTTTCATTTTCTTGCCCCGTTCCCGAAGCGTCGTCGAGATTCGAAACAGGGTCGCGTTATATTTTTCTCGACGATATCGATATTTGTATCGACGGCGGTAGAACCGCGGAAAACATGACTGTCGGCGGATGTATCGTCGAAATCAATTTCACGGATTCGAGTAGTTCGTGATACGTAAATATGTATAGGGAATAGAGAGTAGGGAGACGCGATCTCGGCGGACGGCGGTAACGAAAAAAAGAGGAAGAGAGAAAGAGAGAAGGAGGGCAGAGTTTCGTGCTTCGGCAAGCGTGGACGAGATTTAAGGTATTTACACGACTCGGTGTCGCGGTCCGCGTCCCTCCGATTTCACCATTGTTCCCGCTCGTGGCTATACATTGATAGATGCGTCGACGAGCTCGTTGACGCTTTTATTGCGGTCCTCGTAACATCTTTATTTCGTGGCGGGGTGTCTCGAAGTCACGCTCGTCGCGACTATTTCCGACTCCGCGAATCTTTTTTCCGGGATCGTAATCCCTCATAGGCAGCCCGCGTTCTTCGCACCGATTGCTAGAGAACGTTCTTATTGATATACCAACTGGGTTACTTTGGTTCATCGCTGGATATCGAAGTAGTCGTTTTCCGATAGAATTTCTCATGATGGCACTATGTGTTCGATGTTAATCTGTTGGTAAATAGTCGAAGCAGTCTCGAAGTTGGAAAATTTCGCTGTCGCAACTTGTACGAGAGGTAACATCGCTGCCGAATAGAATTGTAGTATATTAAGAAAGAAATTTCGGAAACGCTGTAAACACGCGATCGAGCTGTTAATCCCGGCTGTCTATTCGTCGGAAAGAATCTACAGCTCGTGGTGCAGGGTGCTCGATCGTTGTCGCCATCGCGGAAAAGATAGAACAAAGCGAGAAAATTTCTACCGACAGAGTTTCCACGCGAAGTTAAGCCTCCCTTCTCGATGAATGGAGGCGCAACTGCAAAAGGGTACAACACACGAACGTAGAGCACACGTGTGCGAGTTGCGATGTACATTGTAGAGGCGTATCCACGCGAACGAATAATATGAACGAAAGGGGGGTAAACGAAGGGACATACGCGGAGATCTAAAAGTTTCCACGGTAGAAGGAGAGAGAGGGCAGAGGTGCGTGTATAGTGTATAGGTAGGTGTATAGAGCACAACATATATAGTTGATTTGTTCGTGGATTATAGCCCTTCGTTCCATCTCGCTCGCGAGTTTCTATACGCGAGAGAACGACACAGCTGCGCGCGATGTTTGCTACGTTTCAATGCGCCGGCTCGTTCGTTCGTCGTTTACGATCGAGGAACGCGTCAAAACGTTATTTCTTCGACGGTAAAAAAAAGAGATACGGTGGCTTCGAGGAAGTCGGCAATATCGAAGAAGAAAAGCCCGGCGAACGTTTCCTTCGCGAACAGGTTTGCCTCGCGAATAATATTCCCCTTGAATTCTTCTCGACGACAAACTCGATTACCGCTAAACGCGCTCTAAATTGTCCTAGTCGATATCGTCGACGTTTTCGGAAAGATAAAGCTTCGAGATTTTGATACCCTTCAGATTCGAGCGAAATCGATTCTTATCGATCGTGAATATCGATTAAGCGTCGCACGATGGCGGCAACGTTACTCTCGATCGTTGGCTGAAAACTTGCTACATAATTTGTATTGGCAAGACATTATCGCAAGGACGTTCGCTCGTAACGAGGAAGAAATTCGTCTGGACAGCTGGCGAAGGCAATGTCTCCCCGTTTTCGTAAGGTCCTTTTCACTCGTTGAAGTTCGCGTTGACATTCCGGCACCTCGAAACGTCTCCCGCGAGATCGTGTTAATGGTGCAAATAAGAAAATATATTTGTCATACGGAAACGTCAACGCAGCTGCTGCAGCCCGTGGCCAATGGGTTGGTTTTCCGTGTTGGACGCCGACCAGATGGTGATGCAATTTACACCTAGCCATCGATACACACGAGTAAAACTGGCTGCGGTCGCCCCCGGGGGTTTCCGGGTCGCAGCATGGCCCGTTCGGTTGGTTTTCGGGGTAGCTGCCACCTCGACTCGTGCGTTGTTACTCACCGGGGGGTGAGTGTCGTTGTGCAAACACGGAACTGTAATGGCCGTTTTCTCTCTCTTTCTTTTCGGGATCGTTCCACTTTGCGGTCGATGCGCGATATTCGCGTTTCACGCGTCTACGACCTTCGCACCCCATTCTCGGGGGATCTGTTTGCCGAGCGACGATTTGCTTATTGTCGCGACACCGCTCCGAACGAACAATCTAACGCCAACATTTGATACCGCGACGATAATTATTTGCGCTTTAAACTTTCAAATCTACTCGAATTTACTCGCACGTGCCTATATGTATAATATGCGTTGACTTTTTAATCCGCTCGACGAGATCGCGCTTCATCGCACGGGCAAAGAGTTTTTACTCGCGTCGAGTGTTCTCTCTTTGGTTAGCGATTCGTCGAACCGCCAGTAGATTCGTAACGAGTGGAAATCTCGTGTATTCGCTTGGGCGATTCGCGCTCTACGCAACAACTGTTACAATGCTGTCGATAATAACAACAACGAGAACGGGTCTTGCTTTTAAAGGCGGGCATAGATTCATAGGATCGCACCCCTGGCCACATTGTGTGCCGGGATTACAGAGGATCCGCGAGGGGGAGTGAAAAGCCTCGGCCGGGGGAAGCTTTTTGTCCTTCTCTCGCTGGTGATTCGCGAAGGGCGAACGGGAGAAGAGGCAGGGAAAGCTAGAGGGAGAAGTTGAACCGCGGTTCCTTGCTCGTGTTTGTTGTTACGCTGGCGTTACGACATAGGCAGCGTTCTTCGTGCGGATAGCCTCGTAGATAACGCGCGCGCGACACACGGCTGCGAATCGGCTCGATTCGCGCATGCGTTAACGGGAGATCCCTAGGGGCACACCGACACACGGCCGAGAGGCGTGCTCGTCTACCAAACCCACCGAACCGTCTCTCCTGCCCGTCCGTTGTTATTGTTGCGATTTAATGAAATGTTACGGCCGTCCGGCCGCGATTACTTTCCCATTGCGCCGATTAACTCCCCATTGGTCGCGTCCCTCGTCACGGGACACCTTTCCTCCTCGACGATCCCTCGGCCGACGCTTTCTCCGCGAAACCTCGCTAGCCAGCTCTCCCCTATCCGATATTTCGCTCCGTAGCTATTGGTCGCGGAGCGAAAAAGAGTCAACCTGCCGGAGCTGATATAAATGTTTCGTCCGTTGTACAGGTGTGGTTCAAGAATCGTCGAGCAAAGTGCAGACAGCAACTGCAGCAACAACAGCAACAGCAACAGCAGCAGCAGCAGACCTCGCCGTCGAAGGGTTCGCCGAGGTCGAGTCAGACGCAGAGCAACGGCAACAACGGCAACAAAATGTCGAGCACCGCGTCCGCGACGCCCAGCAGACGCTCGTCACCGGTCTCC